CCTACACTAATAGCTTAACCAATAAAGTAGCTTCTGAACAACTGCAGTTTACAGCTATTGTTTTAAAGTAAATAGTTCTGATCTCTCACAAATGTCTATACTGATGGGTATATGCTGATACAACTGATCTCTGTGCATGCTCTAAGCCCACTTGACATCTGGATTTGTGACCTAGAAGCCCTATGATCACATTGCAATACCCAAGTCTGAACAACCAAGGCCTCTGAAGTGACCAGTTTCAAAAAGCCACCACTGAGCTTGAGAAGTCCTTTTTATGATTCAAGTGACCTCTGAAGGCCAATGTGTCCAGAGAAATTACAAAATACAATATACAAATACCAAAATTTTACAGTATTCAGTAAATAAGTTTCAACAGACAGTAAGACACCTTTACAGTGCTGGGAATAACCTCTCAAAAAGCACATTCTCTCTTGTTGAGAATAAAAATTCACTGTTTTTTCATACACATGCTTGAAGGTTCATATTTGACACCCTACTCTTCCTCAGCCTATGATGTGGTGCCTTTACCAGCTGTGAAATTCACCAAAATTGTTAATAACAATTAACTACATACAGGCTAAAAGTTCACAGGAATTACAGAACAAGGCATTAGACATTTTGGAAAGTAAAGCTGGAAACCAGTTTGCAGGGAGGTGGAAAGCAAAAGGATCAAATTATACATTAATTCACATTGGTACTGAACTTTAAGGTTCTGAAGGAGAATTTTACAGCTGTTCTGGAGAATATTATGCCACCTTGGCAGAATGCAGTGAACCCTCCTTCCCTTCTCCCCTTTCTTTAAAATTAAATTTCCAACAAGTACTATTAATATAGTAATTTTCTTCCATCAGAAGAAAAGCATTATGTGACTTTCTCTTTCATCATTTCCTTCCCCTTTTTACCCAACCACAAGCAGTTGAAAACAAGCTACTTACTGATGCATTTCTCAAAGTGCCTGTATCTGTATTTACTGTTCCCATAGTATGAGGCTTTTCAAAATACTTCTGTATTAAACATTCAAAAGAGGGAACTGTGTCGCTGGGGTTTATCAGCCATGCTGCAATCCTTGGATCTAACACGACACTATCAGCAACTACAAAAAGAAGTTATTTCTGTCAATCAGAATACTTCGGCTACATCCCACACTGAGAAAGACGTATTTCCCATCATAAATAGACAAGTATTTATACTATGAAAATGTTAAACATTGAATTTGCAGCTGTAACAATCAATCAGTGTCATGACTACATAGGAGTAGCCCAGGGCAGTGGTGGAATCACCATCCCCAGAAAGTGTTCAAAAAACATGGATGGGGCCCTTACTGACACGAGTTAGTGGTAGACTTGGCAGTGCTGGGGTAATGGTTGGACTTGATGATCTTAAAGGTCTTTTCCAACCTATTGGATTTTATGATTCTAAGGAAAAAAAGTAAACATTTTATCTTCTGTTTGTAGTTGCTTTTAAATCCATACAAGAAAGTCTTAATTTGTTCCTGTCAAAAAAACAAGGACCCACTCAAGTTATTCCCAATTCTGACAACTATGAACACCTCTGGTATTTATTTTAGCCTTTCTTCTCGAGCAGAGAAAGTTTTTCTAGGGAACGTGAAATATGAAGCAGTTTGACCTTTTCAGCTCTAGTCAGGACTGCTTGGAGAGCTTTTGTTACCAGTAGAAGCTATGCTTAAATTATTCAATGATTTGATTCCTATTCTGAGAAGAAATACATCATTTTGACATGCCAAGCCCTTGGTCACAACCTCCCCCAAGCAGGTTGCTCCTTTCCATGGTACTAAAACAGTTTTTCCATGTATTTCTTAACCACTAATCTAGTTACTTCTATACCTGGTGATTTAAACAGAAACATCAAAAGCACAGAGATGACAGGATTAGATCATAGATTAGGTAGTTACCTTGTTTCCAGCAAATTTCATTACCATAAGCTTGAAGCAGAGTCCTCAGGAAATCTTTTGCGTTGAAGCAAATAATTGGAACTTTGCAACGCAGCATTTGAGACAACACTTGCCTGCACGGAAGCAGTTTATTAATGCACATTATATCACTACTAGATTCAGGGAATCTATTTACTTTATATGTTTAATTAGCACCTAATACTAAACAGTTAACACAAGACATTTCTTTATTCCTGTATGAACAGAACACTGTATTTGAGTATTAAATTCTTAATTCAGTAATACTGAACTTCATTCTATAATGAACTAAACATTATAGCAGATATGCCTTATCATGCATTCATAAAAAAACCAAATTCTTATTTGATAGTCAAAATTAAATGCATTCTTAATCCAAAACAGCAACTGGCATCCCTGTAATACTTTAATATTCCCAAATAAGATCACAGAGGCTTCTGAATTAATTTAGTGGTGTAAAATAATGATCTAAAGATTACCTTAAATCATGATAAGACAATCTAAATTGCCATAATTGCCTAGTGTTAATAAGCTATTTAAATCTAGAATACTTCATCTATGTCACATTTTTCCATTCCTTTTGAAAATGCCCATAGTTTCCACACCTACACTATTTTATATCAATTTTACCAATTATACCTATTCGTATATAGATTTACTTGTGTTACATTATTTGTGTTACTTTTATAAGCTTCTGGGGGGCAATATAGAAAACTAGCAATTTTTTATGGAGCTTTAAGGTTTATTTCTCTTTGGTGGTATGAAACCACAGTTCTGAGTGTTTGGTACTCATAAGTTGTGTAGCTCACAAGATATTACTGTTTACAGTGTAGAGCCACTATTAAACAACTGCACTATTCTGACAACTAATAATTGCCTATGGGTTTCATCTAAATGCTAATACACTTATTCAAGTCATTATTGAATTTTTACTGTTCATATGCACATGCTTTATTGATATGTTATTCTCAATTTAGAACAACCTCTACTCAAACTAACAAGTTATTAAACTAGTTGTCACATGACTCCAATATTACAGCTAGAGAAGTTCAAGTCACAGTGGAGCAGTGGCAGAGATGAAACTGACAACTGAGTCCAACATCTTGAAAATGAATGCTCTGCAATTTAATAACCCCAATTCAGCAGTTTACAATAAAGCAGTTATTACTGAAAATCATAATATATTCTAATGAAGTTTTAACATGTGACTATTATATCTAAGAATCAGATTCAGTTCTCATTTCTCCCTTTATGGGATGCTATTTCAAAGTTAATAGTAAGGAATAAAAATGGATTTTGGTTATATTAACTAGAAGTTATTAAACAGCTACATAAAGCATTTACTTTAAAAAATTATCTTGCAATTCTGATATAATATTATTACTGAATAGCAGGAAAACTTCATTTGGGATCATAAAAGCCAGTAAAAAGGCATATCGTGTTCAAAAACTTTAAACAGCAGAGCTCAAAAAGGATGTTTACTGTAATAACACCCATCAGAAATGTACCAAATCAGAAATGCACTTCAGGAAATGGAAAACAAGCTACACGAAAGAGAAACCTGGATGAAACTTATTTTGTGGTGCCATATAGCTGTAAGCTGTTCATAAAGGATTACTTGGTGAATATAAACAGCTCCCACCAGAATCCCAATCTGGGGCTGCAGGGCTGCAGCTAGTGGTATGTTGAGCCCAAAGGAATAGTCTATTCTATTCGGTTTATATCAGCCCAGGCTTGCCACATGACTCATACAGCTAATTCAACCTCCTTACACTCATTAAGCCTGTGCCATGTTACCTACATCACTGTTGCTAAAAGCACATGTAATGCAAAACAGCACTTTTTTCCTACATATTCTCACCAAGCAAATCTCTCATGAGCCTGCTTTGCTTGTTCCCAAAGAGATGGCCATTCAATTCTTAAATAAATTAATTTATCATTTTCATTAGCAGCATTCCAAGTACAGTCAGTTGAAGAAGAGTAACTGGGAGAGTAAGGCTGATCAGTCTGATTCTTCACTAACACAACAACTCCTTTTACTGATGAGGTTAAGACCTGTTAAGGGTAATGACAATAGCGTTTCCTCTGACAGATTTTATGCAAACCTATAAAGAAAATTTCCCAAATATTTTACAATATGAAACCTATTATGTACATGAGAGTTACTGCATCCACCACAGCACAGTAGAGGAGCATGCAAGTTTTTCAGCCTTGAAATAAAAAGCCACAGTCACAGACATAGCAAAAAGTGGGAAAAAATACTGCAATTCAGCCTCATTTCAAGTACACAAATGCCTGTTTAGCCCGAGCAGCTTCACTCCTTTTCTTTTTTTAAGGTTTTACTTGGTAAGTAAAAATAAAATGTAGTCATTTTACATAACATAAAATGTTTGCTCATTCTATATTTGAATTTTGGGATGCAATAATACACAAAACTGGAGCAGACTCCACGCTCCCAATGAACACTGTTTTGTGTTTATGAGAGTCACACGCACAGTTCATATGGTTCCACAAAAGTGACTCTAAACAAAACACATCTTTCACTAACCTGCTCTGAGTTGAGCTGTGAAGAACCATCTTGAAATATCATAGTAGTTACAAAAGCTGCTGCCTGGTTTATAGTTTTCAGCAATTCTCTTTTTTCTTCACATCCTAAATTCCTGACATCAAAAGGGAAATTTTCAGAAGACTCTGATTGTCCAGAAGTACAGTCGTATCTTCTCACATGTGAGGAAGCATAGGTCTTTACAGGTAATCTCCTTGTTTTCTCCAAACAAGATATAGGTACATCTTGCTTTCTTTTAAGGGGAGCAGTTACAATCTTTTCACAATCCTTCTGGTTTTTGGCTTCTACAGCAAGATTTCTTTCTTGATATCCCCATGTTGGCAAGCCTATATCCTGGTAACAGCTCGCTCCTTTGGTATCTTGACAGCAAAGTGTTTCATTGGTGTATACTGTCCTGACTATCTGACCAGTGGTATTTATTTCAGGGCTAGTAGATGTTTTTAATAAGGCAATTGTGGACTCATGAAGCTCCTGGAAAAATCAGGAATTATTTAGGGAACCAATTATTCAACTTATTAGGAGAAATACAAATAAACTCACAAGTTCATTTAGATGAGCTTTGAAGGAAGTGATACTCCATGAAAAAGATGTTGATACTAACAAAATAAAGAGTTATTTTAGGGGAAGCACATTACATAAACCAAAATTCACATATTTATTAGTAAGATTATTTTAGTGATTTATATTGTTTATATCCAACCCCTCCACTGTTTGCTTGGTTTTCAATCTAATATTAGTCCAACACTAAAAGTAACAAAGAAACAACTGTAAGATGCACCTAGCCCAGGAGACTGCCCTCCATGGTGACTAGGTTACTAGTGACCATCAAAGAGAGAAAAGACCATTCATGTCCATCTTTAGCTCAGTATTCAGAGCATTCTTCATGACAGCTCCATTTATTGAAGAGTTTTGGCAAGGGACCATAACGGCCACTTTGGAAATTTAAGGACACCGAGTCAACTGGTTCTCCACAAAATTTACAAGACTAAGATGTAACTAAAACATATATGAAAGTTGCACTGAAGATGCATTATCAGGAATATGAGTATTATATTCTACTCCACTTAATCCACTATGCCTAGAACAGCTTTCCTACTCCAGACAGTCCCTGGATCCCTTTACAGCAGCATGCTATTAAAGGGCATTAAGTAAGAAGTTGTATGCTAATGTGATTTTACTCCTTCATCCTGGATTTCCTTCTGAAATTTCCTCAGTATGCCACTGGCCCTAGTATTATGTTAGTGGTTATTTCGTTAGTTTCTTTTACAACCTCTTCAGCTGAGATAGATCCTCTGTCTTCATTTCATAAACAAGGAACTCTGGAACGGCAGCTGGCAACCCTTCCAAGATGCCCCAAGGTAAACCTGTGTTTAACTATTATACAGAGTTGTATTTTCCCTCAATATTCCTCTTAAGCCTTGATCATCAACAGGTCTTAACAGAAGCTGGCAAGCTTTTGACTCCTGAGGCATTCTGAAAGATGATGGATTATGAAGTGATGCGTTTGCAAGCAGCTTCTCAAAGTTTACTTGGACTATACTCTTATATTTACATTTAATTTACTCAAACGAAGAAACCATAAAATAATACAAATATCACCAAGTTGAGCATTTTGCATGTGACATTTTTTAGTAGTCTCCTTCATACTGTCATTTAGCCATACTTCCTTTTTACTGAGCAGATTTTAGTATTTATTTTAAGTTTCCAATAGTCTGTTTTGACTATATCCCTATACTACCTACAAATGTTTTGGCTTTGGAGGGGAAATTCCATATATTTTCTTTTAAAAGCTCCTTCATTTTTTGAAATCACACACAGAGCTTCAGAAAGCTCATAGTCAGAGCATCTTTCAACACAAAGATTTTGAATCTGATTTCACACAATCAAATACAACACAATTTCTCTCATGCGTTCTCCAACTGTTCCACAAAGCAGCTGTCTCCTGATTTTTAGTCTCAGCATCATGCATAAGCTTAATATGCGCTCACTCCACTGAAAAGTAACTGAAGCCTCTAATAATGACTATGTTTTCTGCTCTTGGAGCAGAGTCTCCTTCAGTACCTCTGCTGCCATAACCATTCCTAAAACCAGGGCCTTCTCACTTCAAAGGAACCACAAGTTACTGTTGTACAAGGCTCCCATCCATTCCCCACAATGACAATCTTTGCTGATGAAAGGGCATTGTCCATCTCTATTCCATCAGTATCAACTGAGCAAACCAGAATGGCGAAACCAGAATGGCGAAACTAGAATGGCGAAACTAGAATGACAAAGCCAGTAAGTTTGGGGCTTTTTTTCTGGTTTTGCAATACTCCTCAACCCAGTTCCTGTATTCCCAAACCTCAGAACTACAGAGTCAAAAGAGGAAAGAAGCTTAGACTGCTTGAGATCATATTTCACAGGATCAACTCCACAGCAGAAATACAATTAACAGGTTCTAAGTAAATAGAAAAAGGAAGCTAATAAAGCTTTTTCTATTACCAAAATGAGTAGTGGTTGTTCTGAAGACAAATTACTTGGATTTAGGCTATGTTAATCAAAAAGTGCACACTGCAAAAAGTTGCTATAAATGGAAAAAGAGCATCACATCAGGACCAAATGTTTAAGAGCTGTAGAAAACAAGTAATTTGCTCAACTGTATTCTCCAGTCAATCTGCAAATAGTTGTACTGTTTAATACAGTAGAATTTGAATTGGGATGCTCAAGTAATTATAGAATCAGGAATAAACATTTCTCTGTTAAAGGTTCAAAAATAAGAACAAAGCAATTTAATTATCAAGTCAGAATAATATAGTTGGAACTACAGGTAACCACAGAGAGTAGCAGCAGCTTTCAGGAAGAACTGATCTTCTACTAGAAATAATGACATGGCTGGAAACTGAAAACTTCCAGGATGTAGTTTCATAATTTATGTGGATCTAGGAAAATTTCATTAGACACAGTGAGTCAAAATTATCCTCCTCATCCCTAGAAAAAGAGGTTCCATTACTATCCATGTGCATCCACAGCTGCATGTCTACCTACAAGCCAATTTAATTTGGAGGAAACTATCCCAATCCCACAAAACAAACTGGTTTTCTGCATCTTGAGCAACCTGAATGGACTTGATGTGTGCAACATGCACTAATCAGAGTAAGGAAGGCCATGAAATTATCAGCTGGCACAGGAGCAGTACACTCGCACTATCTGCAACTCATTGATCAAGTCAACAGATCTTACAATCGCAGCCTGAGTTGGGGCTGCCGCAATTCTCCATTCCCATTCCTGCACTGGCTCTCACTCACAGGCATATTAAACCAAATTCAGAGAGATGATTAAATCAAAAACTAAACTTCCTAATGCAAAGTAATTTTTCACATAAATCAGCTCACTTTATGGTTACGTGTTAGTGACTGTTCGGTGACAGAAGTTTGAGAACATTTTTAAACCCCAGTAACTATATAAACATGGCAACCTCATTTATTTCTGACCAATCTGTCATAAAAATAACTTGCTATAAAAAGGATAACAGAAGTGGAGCCAAGACTCTCATAGGTAAATAGATGCCAAGTGCAAAATAAGGCAGGGGAAAGTTAATCATGAGTGCATGCATTATACTGTGATAAAGCTTGTTATGGAAGACCCAGTCTACACCAACATCAAACCTGCTACAGAAAGACTGCTTTTAGTGGTCCTCAATCGTATAATATGCTTGCCTTTTCTTTTTTCAGCTGTGCATCCTTATCACCTAGTTTATTTTCCTTTGTCTTCTCTATACCTTTAAAAAAAAAAGAATGGGAAACATTTTACAGTACAAGTGAATCCAAGAGCAGTACATATAACTTGGGATACCCATACAGTGTACTGACAATGTTACTAAATCTAAACTAATTGCAATAAAATTTTCCATGACAACCACTTTCCTCAAATTAACACCATTCATACCTGAAAGGGCCCTGCAGGTTCCTAAATATGCATATGCAAAAGCATGCTCTGCCCCCATTAAGAAAAAATTAATTCAGATTTGCTATAAAGCAGACAAATTTCCACGGTATTAAAAGGCATTACTGTAATACTATACTCATCTTTCCTTCTTTAAAGAAAACACATTCATCTTGTTCTCTTCACGAAGTTTAACTGTTTTCTTGGAATTAGGGGCAATAATTTTCTTCAGCAAAACACTATTTGCTTATACACATTTAGCGTATCACACCCTACAGAGAAGTGACCATGCTTCATCTGCAGAGGATAATTTTTTTCCTATTCCTCATCTTGTAACAGAACAGGTATCCATAAGACCAGACAAGAACAGAGAGAAGGGAGAATTCAGAGCTGTCAAACTGACATAAAGGCAAGGCAATGCCTAGCAGCACCAGCACAGCTATCAGAGTCCCGTGCCCCAGCACAGCTGCCAGCCTGGCCCACCACTGAGCCACCAGTGGTATTTACCACACAGCACTGAAAGCAGACAGATGCTGTCATGTAAGGAAGGCGTTACAAATGCAGCTCAGGACTCTGAACCTTGCTAAGTGAAACAGTCAGGACATGCCTTCTCTTTCTGCCCTCAACACTGCCCTGCTGCCCCAAGAAGAGGAGAAGCAAGTGAAGACTGGAATAAAGCAACGAGGAACAAAAGGCCAGAAGCATTTGTGGGGCTCTCCAGACTTTGCAGTTAGTTGGGATTTCTTTATCTCCAGATTCTTTTACTGCCCAGCCCACAGACACCTCCATAGGCAAAATATGTGTTTTGTCCCCTTCTAACTCCTGGTCCATACCAAGTAAAATACTCCACTACTCTTTTCAGCTATGAAATTTGCAATGCCAGCAGTAAGACACTTTCTGAACCTAATGTGGAGATGATCAATGTCAAACAAAGCATAAGGTGATCTCTATTTACTGAAGCTTTTTTAAGAACAAAAAACTTTGTCTACGCAAATCAGGACCTGTATATGAAATACTCAAAAAGGCATTTTCAGAGACCAATTAGCTTAGCCTCCAGAAGAAACTAAGCATATTACTTTACAGTATTACATGCAGGTTCATATTTGTCTATGTGTATAATGAGTTATTTAGATCCAGCTCAGACTTCTAACCTGAGCTGTTAGGATAGTGAATCTGGCTGTATTTGTAGCTTCATTTTAGGTTTCTTTTTCTTGACGCTTCCTACAACAATAAAATTATAAGTAAAAAATGACAGTGACTGAGTTTACATTCAGTATTTTTCATTGTTTCACAGCTAGACATTTTTTCTTGCCAAATTCACCCTCTGGAGAAGATGACGACAACTACATTCCTCTCCTTCAGCACACAGTATTCGGTGTGACAGGTATCTAAAGAGCTATGTAACCTCAAATTGCTGGTTTATGAAAAAGTATCACCAGATGGCAGTAGAAACCCATCCTTGCCTCCTAACTCTTTGGAACTAGGTGGAACATTACAAGCTCTACTGTTAAGGTAACCAGAGAATTTCACCCACTAGTTCAACATTGTAGCTATTTGTCCTATTTGAACCCAATATTTACCTTCCAAAGATAGATTTTCCAGTAAGTAGAATTTAATCTTTAAAGATATATCAAGTACAGTTCATTAAAGTTTGAAACAGACCAATTAACATGACAGGGTTTTGGTTTTTATTTTACTTTTATGGGAGGCAAACCTTTTCTTCTCTCCAGATCCATGCTGATCCAGCTAAAGCTATATATATATACACATATATATATACACACACAGACAATTCCCTAAAAACAATTCAAATAAAATTTGCTCCTAAGGCACTAGAAACAATCATAATCACTACATGGAAGGCAACAGCAAGAAAAGCCAGTCATGTGACCTGCTACCACTAAATGCTTATCCTGTTCCTGCACTCCCCAGGGAATAAGGATTTCCCAGCACTACAAAGAAGACAGCAAGATCGTTTGGCTAAAGATACCACATGCCTTCATGGTGTTTTTTACAGCTTGACAGGGTGTGAATGGATCAAGAGTGGACAACATCACATGGTAAGATACCACACAGCACACAGTTCACACTCAAAGACAAAAACATCACACAGGAAAATTAAGGAAAGGAAAATGACACGGTAGGAAGTGGAATAATATTAAACTGAGGCAGAAAAAAAAAATCAGATTTTCTTTAAAATAATCTGGGGTTTGGTCCTAATGTACCATTTTAAAATGAACCCACATCCTGTGATTATCCTGATTTACACTGCAGTGCTACACCATCAGGCTCCACTGATCCAATACTTTACCACTGAAAGAAGAACCTGATCTGGTATTTAATAAGCAAGAGGCTGCAACAAACACCATGTACACAAGAACAAATGCTAGATTTAAATCTCCTTGACCAGATGTTCCGGGATCTAGTTCTCAGGGGAAAACAGATAACTAAAATTGAGCAATACTCTATCTACCTCTTTCCAGAGCTACGAGACTGGCAGACTATGAAATGTACAGGATTAAGAATAAAATTCCATCTTGGAAAACCTCCACAGTACCCACAACATTCTGAGTAAGATTTGCTCAACAGTCAGAGATCTGCTGAGGCACTTTTAACATTACCTAATTCACTCCACCACTGGGACTTCTGTTCACTCTTCCCCCTAGAATTTCACAAGGAGCAAGTTGCCAATGAACATGTGTTTAAAGTACAAACGTGAACCGGGAGAGTTCACAGGCCTTCTGTCAAGTTACCAGTACCTCTAGTGATCTTTAATATCTAGTCCAGAGTCAAGTTAATGTATACATGGAATTTTCAGTATCAGTTAATTAACAGTTTAAAATTCTCATTTAATTCTATACCACTTAGCAGGGACAGGAAGAAACAACAATGAAATTGAGTGCACTGGTAATATCCTAGTTCTTTGCACTCGTATAGCATTATTTAATCAGAAAAGCCCCAGCAAATGTCACAGTTACAGCTTAACTCCTTTTCTAACCCTGAAAACCTGAACTCTCGCCTTTTTCTTCCTTTTAAATAGGGACCAGAGATTTTATACTGGTTTACTTGTTTGGGTTTCGATTTTTCAGCTGAAAATGGAAATGCTTAAATAGGCTAAGATTTACTCACTCTGGTTGTTTTTTCTGCTAGTCTGAACTTCTACAGGAATAGACTGCAAAACTGCCATAATCCTCTGAGCGGTATCAGATAAAGGCACTTTAGAAATCTCACATCCTATGTATGATGTATACCGTTCCATTTTTAAGATTAAACCTAAACAGAAAACACATGCAAATCATGCATTATATCAGGGCCGCCGAACAAGCCGCACTTAAATTCTTTGTTGTTTCAGAAAACACTTATAGAAGACCTCTATTTCTTAAAGTTGGTATAATTGATGTACTCAAGTACTATTAAATCTTAGTAACTTTGAAACAGTTACTATAGTTGGTCAATTTAAGAAGCAGGTCAGTAACATCTAAAGTCTCTAAAGCTTTGACCACAGCTATTGCTTTTCTGGATTTTATCCTTTCTCAAAAAGCAGCTGCTTTTCCAGTTGACCTGTACCCATATCCTATAATACATACGACATACTTGAAGAGTCCGTTGATACAACACATATAGGAGAATAAGAAACAATGGTGTCCATACTGATGACTTGTTTTATTTACAGTTAGACCCGAACAATGTATAAAACTTACCACAAAGACAAAATAAATATCCAACATTCTAAAAAATACTTAAGAGGATGCAAGCTGTAAAGTGAACTGCTCTGCCAAAAACTGCTGTAAGTAAATTACTGCTATACAAGTTAGTAACTGAAGTCCTCTTACTCTGGTCATCTCTCACTAAACCCAGTGCTTGAGACAAGCTTAACCATCAAGGCAATGGTATTTCCTCTGTTTACACGGAAATCTTTTTCTTAGCTCAAGGCCAATGACAGATTGCAAGTTTGAATACTTACAAGTACAGATATTTGTATCCAGACTCAAAGAGGAAGATCCATCAGGCTACATTAGTATTGGCTATCTATCCAGCTCAAATTTACAGTAAGCACGTGAAAGGGAGAGAGAGGCAGAATGGCTTGCTCTGCCTTGACAGATAGAGCAAACTCAGAGGCCAGAAGGTCAATTTAAAATTATTTTTTCTTTGAAGAGCTCAGGATGAATATGGGCTGGTTTCAAGGAATAAGACAGGCCATAACGTAAATTAAGAGATACTGGAATCGTCTTACAGTAGATGGCCATGGTACTTGAAACATTCTGGAACACATTCCAACACATTTCTAGCAACACCAAATCTTCATTGAAAAACTGTAACGGAAACAATCATGGCACATCTGAAGAGGAGAACTATCCTCTTCAGAATGAGCACATTACATTCATGTTCCAAAATCTGGAATGTCTTCTCTACATTTATTTGTCAAATCACACATCAAAGGTTCTTAGCATGCAAGAAAACCTATCCCATGTGTAGAAAATGTCCCTTTTTGTGCTATCCTGTGTGCAGTGGAAATCAACATAAAGGCTAGCAGAAGAGCAGCCTGAATGTGATTCATTCAAATAACCAATGTATTACTTCATATCAAAGAACTGTGACAAAACAGAGATTTGAACTTCATGGGCAGATGCCAAAAGCCATCAAGCAGCATACAACCCAAACCTGGTAACTGGCAGTTAAACATAAATCGCAATGATAGATAAATGTTAGCCTTGATAAAGCATTAGTTATCATTCCATAAGCTTGCAGAGAGTCTACATTAACATGCTTTCCTTTCTTAAAAATACTCTGAAGTTTAAAAATCGAGAACTCCACTGGTGGCAAAATCCTCATCTGCCAGAGCACCGGCTTTCGCCTCAGCCTGCTGCTCCAGCTTCTCCACCATCTCTTTCAAGCGGTCTTGGTCTTTATAAAAATACACATACAAGTTTCTTTCCATTTGATGGAGCTTACTGGACTCTAAAAAGTTTCTCTTTGACTTCACATCGGCCATCAGATCGATAAGGAGTTCATTTAATTTATTTAAATCAGTTTCCAGTTGGTGCAACTGCTCAACAAGTTCCTAACAAAAGACACAAGAGAGAAAAAAATATTACTTTATGTTAATACACTACCTGAACCAGAGACACAAAAGTTTAGTTGCTTTTGGAAGACACTTCTGTTTGTAACTGAAAAGTAATACGGAAAACAAATAAAGGTGCTAAGTAATTCTATTCAATTCATGTAACTTTTGAGCTGCATGTAACACTACTTGCATCAGGTTATGAAAACATAAATTCATTTCCTTGTTTACCCAGCCCTTAGCTGGATAGATGGTTGAATGACATTTTTAAATGCTTACAAGTCTTCCTATTTTACAAGGGAACCAAAAAAAAAAAAAAACAACAAGCACCCCACCACAACAAAAAAGCCAATGCAATTTTAGAATTAAATCATTAATTAACAGCTATAATTTTCCCAACTGTCACTCTTATGACAGTACAGTGCAAGCAGGCTACTCATCTTCTTCCACATTATTTCCTTATTAAAGGTATTGCTTTTCTTGATAAACAGCAGCAATAGAAAGAGATGTCACTGTGTTTTAAGAGGTAATTTGAATCAACAGAAAGGCATTTCATTGATTTAATAACCTGTAATCCCTCCAATCACAAAGTTTCATTTTGTTACAAAAACACTTCTGTATGTTGCAAATTCTCTTGACAGATGTAAGCAATAAATGTATTTTTATGTATTTAACCAAGGAAGTATAATGTAACAGAAGACTACCTCAACCCACTTTTGAGATATCTACAATAAAAAACCATCATAAATTGCATTCAAATACCCCAATTCCCATTTAAAAGAGGCTCTGAACCTATCAGCTGGGAGCTCTGCAGCACGGCTGCCCTACTACAACTGCCCTTCAAAATTCTGATATTCTGGTTTTGTCCACGAGCCACCCATGGACAGGTTTTTAAGGGACCAAACTATACTAAAGTGCTACAGGTAACAGGGGAAAAAAGCCCATCTGAAAGAAAGAGAAATTTAAATGGTTTTCTAGTGACACCATATCCAGATGACGTATTTCCCACACCAGGAACTTACCAGTAACGCAGGACTGGATATGCCTTTGGAAGAAATGAAGTTAGATGCAACAATTTGCTCAGCAACAAGAAATTACTATCTGCCAACACCTACAAAATCCAGCATTTGCTAAGAACAAAGTAAGTACTGCGCCCATCATCATTATGCCAATAAATTTGTTGCTGACATGTGAGAGCCAGTTTGTGTGTCTACAGCCTTTATACCACGTTCTCAGGAAAAGAACATAACATATTCATGTAATAATTTTAATAACTAGATAAGGGCTTACCTGACTGCTGAGTTGTATCTGATTTCCTCCACGATACAGCGCATTATAAAGGGTATCTACATCACTTTCTAGCTTGGACAAAAGGAGAGACTGTTCTTGAGAAGACGCTGCTAGCTGATCTTGTGCTGTAGTACAGTCCTGCTTTAACTTCTGAGCCATCTGCTCCAGGCCTTTGTATGTTTTAAATAATTCTTGGTTTTTATTTTCTCCTTCCAGAAGCTGGTATAGCCTGTAACAAATGAAGTTAGACACACAAACATTTTTAAGTTTCCTAAGCAATCCTGTCATTATTAGCCGAGAGAAAATGTTCATCTTGAGAAGTCAGAGGACTACTAAAGGATAATACTGCTCAGAGTACTCTCACTACACTACTCTTTCTCCCATTGATTTCATTATCCTATCTATTTATAGCTAGTATGTGATGAATATGAGTCCAAAATATTTCAATATTAACAGCAATGAAATACCAAAGTATCAGTTAGTAAGTACAGAATTAATCCAAATAGACATTGGCAATGTGCTTTTGTGAACTACTTCCTGATATTTCCAGGGCTGCAAAGTAAGATACATTTTTTTTAACTGCTGGAAACCAGCAGGCTTCATTGGCTGACACGAATTAACAGCAAACCCTGTAGGGTTTGTAACTCTTTCAACTTCCCTTTCCTTTAAAAAAAAAAAAAATAAAACCAAACCAAACAAATTGAAAAGTAGCCAGACAGCATTCAATGATTTGGAGACATTAATAATAAACCTGAACAAAAATGTTACAGGTTGCCAATGCAAACACAGTGGAAGCAAAATTAATGCTGCCTAATTCTTGCCATTATTCACTGGGCAAGCCCATACTCAGTTATCACTTAATTATTAAAAAACACTTAAAGCACAGTTTTAACAGAGGGAAAGTCTGGTTTTAACACACCTATAATTACACAGCACACCTCATCAAAAGCTTGAGAGCCTTGATGTGACAGCAACACAGTGCATATTCCTACTGTATCACCTGAGCTACAAGACTTCGTTACTTAGCTGGTGAAAAACCAGATTCCTCCATGGGGACAGGACACTTAAGACAGATGGCAAATCAAGCCGTAAAACTGAGCTAAACACATTTCCCATGTTGAAGAAGTCGTTCCTCTCTTCTACCACACGGGGGGTTTTGCAGGCTAAGCTGATGAGGCCATGCATATGATCTGGAAAATCACTATCATTTACAGCTCTCTAGATCTATACTTCTAGAATAACGTTCAAGAGGTCCTAGATCAGGGCACTATAAAAGACAGGTCTGGCTTTAAACTTTCGTTATATTCTGGGTGCTGCTTAGGAATGCTTCAGCAATATTAAGTCTGATAATTGAACAGTTCTGACTCAGGCAAACCTGAAAAGAATTTCAAAGGATAAGCAAGAGGCTAGTCTCATATCTTGAAGGCTTCGGTTCTTCAGAATTCAAAATACTAATTAGCAAGTAACTAAGAACTAAGCAATACTAAAGGCTTGCCTAAGCCTTTATCTCCCCAATATTACGGCAAAGTTCAACAGTGACTATAAAGCTTACCTGAAAGAAAAACCATCCTTTGAACTAATAGTGTTTCTTGGCTGTGCATGTTTAATTTGCTCAGTTATCGCCTGTAGGCTTTGTTGCAACTCATCAGTGCTCTGTTTTAGGGATTCTACTAACTTCTCGAGTTGACAGGAGATCTCCTTATTTTTCTTGAACTCCATTTCACAGGCTAGCTGAATAAGCTCAAGTGATGCTTTCTGTCTTATCAAACGTCTGAATATTTCATCTTGTCTTGAAGCACGATACTCCTGCTGAGCAATCTGATGCTCCAAGTAGCATTTCTCCACAGGCGCACTCAGAAGTAGTGCCTTCTCCTTCAGAAGGGGCATCAGCTCTTCATTGTTTATCCGAGTTATATCTTCTTTAATTGTTGAAATTTCATCATTTAAACTAGGTATTTTGGCACTGAGGTTTTCTTGTTTCCCAATATCCTGCATAAAACAAAGTATCTGTCAGTATCTTCCTGGTTCCCTCCAAGCCACTCCCCTAACACATTTCTGCAGTTCCCACAAGATTCATGTACTTGTGCTACATCAAAATCGCTGCATCTTTTCTATCTACAAAATTAAATGAGAATTTCACAGGCAGTTTTACAGAACTTGACAACATAAGGCAAATACAGGCTTACAATGTAGGTAACAAATGTATCTCAATAAATAGTAATTTCATTCTTTTGCAAGGCCAGGAAACAGTTATTCTGGTAAAAACAGAAGAGCTGTATTTTACTAAGCACCCAGATTTCAAGCATGTCTGACTGAAATCTCACACACAATTTTTGATAGTCAGTCAGCCAATTATCAACACTGCTACCAGAATCAATCTTTTTCAAATGACTCTAATCAATCATGTCCTATATGCTAGTCATCCATAAATGACAGCACATAAACTGACATAATGCCTTAAGTTAGTCCATGACTGGTATAAGCTAATATTTTTTCTTCTATTACAATTTCTTCACATTCTTAAATTCCAGTAGCCATATCTGCCTGTCACTCACTTGTTAAGAGGTTTTGGGAGCTTCAACTATCAGATTCATTTATTTGGTACAAATACTTGAGTTTCAAAAGAGACAGTGAACTAAAACTTCTTAAGTTTATACTACAGAATATAAACAGGAACATATTAATCATATTAGCTCCTCAATGCCACAAAATGTCAAGCAAAGTTAAGCTTTTGTTTGTTGTACAAATAATTGAGAGCCAGCTGTAATTTGAAATTACAAAGTTAAAACAAACTAGAACAGTACTACTAAGTCCTAGGGGTTTTAAGGTAGTTTTTAATTCTGGACAGCAGCATTAAAGGTACTCTGCCATACCGAAGAATTTCTAACTATAGAAACTGGAGCTATTTCACAAGAGTTTCATGATCAAGACTAAAACTTGTACAATCTCACTATGTAAAAACAGCCGAAAGAACAGTAACTCAGCAATTCCTTTTACTACATCCAGTTCAACATGCCTGCTTGTTTTGAACTCCACTACCTTCTGTCACTTTTTGTGACTTACCTTGTTGTTTAAGGACTGCAGCATGCTCTCTGCGCAGTTTATAGCTGAATTAAGGCTCTCCTCTTCAGCTTGCATCTGAATTAGCTGATGTTGAGCACAAATATATGCTGTCTGGAGCCTGGTCACCTCTCGAGTCTCCTCAGAGATTTCATTAGTCTCATCACAAGCATCTTCTTTGCCGGTATCTGCAAACTGAAAGCTGCCTTCATGTGAATTCTCAACCCATTTAGACACATTCTGATCAAAATTTTTCTTTATGTATGAGCTAAGGGCTGCAGATCTTTCTTCTTCCTGAGCCAAATACTTGTCCAAAGAAAGTTGGGAAAAAAACATTGGCTGTAGATCTGACCCTTGTTCTGAATCTGAAGCAGTGAAGTGAGAGGCCCATTTCTCAGCTGCATCCGTAAAAGACAGCAGTTCATTGTTAAGTTCATTAGTTGCTGCAGTAAACACTTCCAATCCTTCTTTCAATTCTTTATGTGCTTCATTCTCTCTGCTTTTTAACGTCTGTAACAGATGACTGTTTGCAGAAACCATCATTTGAAGCTTATTATGCCGATGAATCTGAAGTTTTTTTAACTTCTGAAGAGTTTGAAGCTCATCCTCTAATTTCTTCAGTTCCTCCTCCTCTTGGCTACTGCTCTTTGAATCCACAGGCCTCAGAGTTTTAAGGACTTCGTCCAGTGCATTTCCTTCCAAAATGGGCTTACCAGACTCACAAAGATTATCAAAATCTTGCAGTTCTTGTTCAGATACCACATACTGCTCATTTACATTTCCACAAAACCACTCCAGGAATGATCTGCTTTCTGAAGATTCAACCAGCCAGTCAAAATCGTCTCCTTTAAGCTCATCAGCTTTTGGATATCCAATTTTCTTAAGCATTGCCACAAAATCATTTCCGCAACTCATGATTAAAGTTTTAGGGGCTGTTTTTTTTTTGTTTTTGCAAGCAGAAAAGATCCAAATACATGGAAAAAATCTGGGGTATTATTCCAATTGTAATTTTGGGGTCATTTTAAATGAACATTCAGTATTTTAATAAAAAGAGTCTGCACGGGGAAAAGCAAGTGTCAGATCACCCAGAAACCTGAATGCTATTCTGGATTAGATATTTAAAAACTAGAAACCAATCCTTATTTCAGGGATATCGTAATATAATTTTTTCATGAAATCAGGACACATTTTTACATCAGTTAAATCCCTGATCTTTGCTAACACTTGTGTTTTTCCTTAAGTCACTTAAGTTAATTGTAGTATTTTGTTTTAATAGTAAATTTAAAAGAAACAAGTGTAAATATTGGGAAATTCACTGGGCAGTGAAAGCAATTCACTTATATAGTTTTACTCACATAAAATAAAACACCCACCCACAATCAACTCTTCCAAAGAGAGAGGAGCTTTCAGCTTGTTCTAAAAACTAACGAACAGTGAGGTTACACCACACTCTGAGATCTTCTTTATAAAGATTTTACTTCTGCAACAAGCAGAATCTTGTCTTCTGAACCTTCATGTTAAAGTTTCCTCTGCAAACAGAACAAGAAATGCTTTAATGTGAAAATATCTCAACATAATAATGCAGGGGTTTGACCAATTAGAAAAAAGTAAAATTAGGATCAGTGTAAATACTCTCATGAAAATAGTCACAACTTAAAAATCACAAGAAAAAGGAGTTTCAAGCTCTGCTGTTTCCCTGCAACCAAATCAGCTTTGGGACCCTAAAGTGAGCACAGACAGCAAACAGGACAGGGGGGTTGGAACTAGATGATCTCAAGGTCCTTTCCAACCCAAACCATTCTATGATTATCAAGGAAGCCAGAAGGCCTTGCCTGCAATTCTGTGGTAATATCCAGCTTGGTTTGTTGGGCTTTTATTTTAGTTTGGTATTACTCAAGACTTTGTTTCTAGAACATGCATCCCACAAAAAACCCCACTCTGTCAGCCAGCCTGGAAGGCATGAGCGCTCAACAACTAAAAGCACCCTTCTGAAATTCGGTGTGTATTTAATGCAGCTTAGAGTTACGCATTCTACAACAAGCAGAATTTGTTACGCAAGTTTTATGTCCCAGGGCAGCCTTCCAACTGTCCTCTGTCTTCCATGCTAAAATAAGGCTAATCAATACAAAGGAGGACACGTAGCTTTATGTACGCGTATGCGCTGACGCTCACGCCGCCATCAAACACAAGTATCTTCGGACCCCTGAGGAAGGTAGCCACCATCCCCACCCCCATCCCCATCCCGGGACCCCGACCACCCCAACCCGCACACGGGACCCTCAGCGAGGAGCACGAACACCCTCC